AACGACATCTTAGAAGCAGTCAAGAGAATCCACGATGTGCGAGAGAAAATCCCAGACATCCTCCACAAAGCCCAGCAGCGCCAGAAGACCCGTCATGATGCAGGACACACACCACGGCATTACGATCCGGGTGACAAAATACTTCTAGCAACTCCCCACTCTGGCGAAGGATCAAAGAAGTTGGCCCCCTCCTATCGTGGCCCATTTGAAGTGAGGAAGAAGCTCTCGGACCTCAACTACGAGATTCATCTTCAAAAGGCGGGAAAATGGACAACAGACGTAGTCCATGTAAATAGGATGAAACCATTCTATGATAGAAGAGAGTGGTTGTAGAGTAGCATATTTATATCAATTAAGTAGGGATTATTATTTGGCGTAAATAAATTGTACTTGGATTTTTTACTTAGGTAGTGTAGTAAATGTAATACGTAGAATGAAGTTTTGACGTTATACTATAATGCAAATCTCCTGAAAAAAAGGTACTAGGTAGTATAAAGAGGGTTATTTAATAGTAGGTAGATTTAGGTGTAATACGTTATAATACATTGTAATCTAATAGGTTAACAATCCACACATTTATTCATTAATTAGAAAATTAATTTAGTTTTTGCCCTACTATCACACAATCACTGATCTTTATGAGTAGGAAATTTACAACAGCAACAGTTTATAATTGGCATATGTTTTTATCTCCATTTTACTTGCACAACTGTTGCTCAGAATCACATTTTCTTTAGGTCGCCTTACAATAATTGCCGGAAAAATTCTATAGCCCATAATAACATTATTTGTATTACATCAAATCACTAACAATTTTCTTTTTCTTGTCTGTTTATTTCATGGGAAGAGATACGCCGACTGCATTAGAATACTACAACACTGAGTTCCGCAACGTCTACAAGGTCGCTGCCATACAATCTTCGCTGACACCGCAGACTACGCCTACCTCAACCAAGCCAACGACCACGGTCTCTATCCAAACAATCAATTACAACCACTGTCATGCACCTTTCTTGCCTTTTCGTATTCCTTACATTTTTTTGTCCTCCTCCATCCTCATCACAAGCTCCCATCAAAATATTTCCCAGAACTCATTTTATCCGTCTAAATCCGATCACTATCTATGACGCCTCACTTCCTTTGACATATGTTTTTAACCTTGACCAATCCAACTCACATTTCGACTTCCCTAATACCTTTCCACCATGCCTATTTCGTTTCAACAACGCCTCGAACCAGCTTGTGGCGGCGCTCAAGACATTGGAAGACCACCTCATGGACCATCTGGATCAAGACCACGTCTACGCAGAACGGGAGCAGTATGGCAACGACCACCGGCAGAAGAGGGCAGTGGACTCCATTGGCGACTTTCTTCATTGGTGCTGTTCCACGGCCACTGATTCCGAACTTCACATCCTGACGTCAAATGAAGAAACAGTAAATAATCACCTCAACAATATACAACTAATAACTAAACTAGACCATGACGACCTGGTAAAATCCTCTCAAGATCTCCAATCTTTCTCCCGAAATGTTTCTCTCATCCTCTCGTCTGTTCATTCTACCTTGGACTCTTTCAAAAACACCCTACGTTCAGAATCTACCAACCAGGAAGCCCTCTATAATAACATCCTATCAATAGTAACCCAATTATACACCCATCTCAACCGCTCTACCTACAACTTAAACCTTTCCGACATGTCTTCCTCTTGCAGACAAAACCTACTGCCTTCTACTGTTGTTCCCCATCTACCCTTCTTAAAGACCTTTCCGAACTTAGTATGAAACTCATTCCCTTACACTATACCATTGCTATTCCTATCTCTGAAATTCACACCTATTACAATATCCCGATAGTTAGCTGTATATCCTCTCCGTCTAAAAACGTCATCACCATTAAAATCCCCCTTATGTCTATTAACATATCCTGGAGCCTTTACAAATACCTCCCCACACCCCTATCCTGGAAAATCAAACCTGCCACCTCCAACATGAAAACCTCCTTTTGGCTAAATCAAATAAGAACTGAAAACAATCTGACGCCATTGTATTTCTTAAAGAAATCACAAATAAAGAAAATTGTCTATTGTCTATTGTCTATTGTCTAGAACCATTTCCTTTCCCTCCCCCAGTCTGACTCCTGCAATCCGTCTGGCTTATGCTTCCTTCCACGGCAGCGAGGCGCCTCATCTTTGACCCAGACCTGTGCTGAACTGCTATTCCAGGCTGCTCACCTTGAGATCCTTATGGCCCACTGTGATTTCACCTGTACTCCAAAACCTTCCCATACGATAATCACCACAATTGCTCCTACTTCGTTTATCCTAACGCATCCAACCACCTTTCTAGTTCTGTCCTGCACCAATGTCACTCCCTCAGATATCCCAACCATTCCCACCAATGTCCCTGGTGCCCTACAACTAACAATACCTTGCCACTGTCAGTTGAAAGAAAATTCCTCCCTTCTCATTTCTCGCAGTTTTCCATGTGATTCTCAGTCCCTTCCTACCCTAAATCACCTCATTCCGTCTACATGGACAAACCTTCACACTCTGCACATCAGCCCTTCTTCAACCAACCACATTGAATTCATAACCTAGACACCATCCTCAATCCAAATTGGACCCTCCACAAAACCCCTCCTACACAGTTCACACCACAATTGCAGACGCTTTAGAACCTGTTTCCTTACCAGAGTCATGGATAGACATATCACACCAATCAATCCAAAAATATTTTCTCATAACAATAGCAGTTTGGAATGTAATTTTAACATTGTTTCTTACCTATCTCTACTGGAAAAGATACATAGCTAACACGATTCTAAAAAGCCAGGTAGATTCAATACAGTTAGAACTGCGTTAAACATTGTGATACAATATTTCATTTTATTGCAGCATGAACTCTCACTTAATCGACTATTACTTCTAAAAATATTGTATATTTTATTTATTCTTTACCGATGTAAAACCATCATTTGCAGTTTTTACTTATAATATGAAAATTGTCTTATACGCAGGTTCCTTTTAATGGACATGGGGACCATGTCTAACTAGGCGGGGGTAATGTGACGGGTAGTCACCAAAAATTATTTTCTAAATTTTGGGATTATATTTCAAAAGTAAAAGACCTGGTAAATGGATTTCACAATTCATATACCAGTGTCAGAACATTGGCATTTAGTAGACAGAATTCTTGATGACACGTACCTTGCTCAATCGACCGACCCAAAAAAACCGTAGACTTAGCAATTGTACTTTGGAGAGACTGAGGTTGGAGTTGACCGAAAGGAAGACACTTGGCCCCAGTCATGTCACGGGGACACTTCGCCGGTCTCCGGGTTTTTGGTAAGGCGATTACTTTATTAATATTTCATCTTTATAATTTTTGTGATTGTCCAGGCTAACTTAACCTTTTAAAGTCAGTGATTGATTGATGTTAATCGTAATCATTTTTATAATAATTGATTTCATTTATAATTTGTGTGAATAAATATAGTGACTATTAAATTCCTGTTTGAATATAATAACGTGTCAAAAAGAATTATAATTATTAGAGTTTTATATAAATTTCATTTGCTTAGGCCTACTTAAATAAAAGCAAAAGGAGCCTGTAATTATTTTATCATCCATTTTTTATTATTGTCTTTATTATTATTTTTATTATATTGTCCATCCACTTTATTTGAATAATGATTTAACATTCTTTTACCTCTCACTAAAGAATTCTTATTATTTAAATCGATCCCGGTTACGCCCCCGGTCACAATTCTAATCGTGGCAATACATTTACACTTTTGTTGTATGTTTAGTACATTTGTCGTAACTTTGCAAAAACCTATATTTTAAAACATTTTTGTGTTATTTTTGTTGATAACGTTTTATTGATACAATATATCAGAAATAACTTAAAGAGAAGATTGTAGCACGTTAAAAGGGCTTTACAAAAATATAAAATTCGATATGCTTTACTAAAAGGACCACGACAAGAAACTAGAAAAACCGTACAAAACAACCTAATTTGGCGCAAAAACACATATAAATCCGACACCGATAGCTGTGTACGAGTCATATATAGACAGTTTGACCATTCAATGTTGATGTATGTGTCTAAAGAAGTGTTTTTAACTCGGGTGTCACGACTGGACCCACTGTAGTTTCCGGTTATGATGTCTTTAAAATTGCTACATGTTACTATTTCACCAACTATGTTACTTAAAATAAGACCACTACCCCCTTTTATGCAAATAAAAGCACAACAAATCAATGTAATTAGTCCATAGGAATGTTCCCACTATATAAATACCCCCGGTGCAGCAATCTATTTCTATTTGCCTGGATTGATTTTCAACGGGTCGGTTTGTCCCGTATTCAATGTGGCCGGCCTATCGTAAATGTATTTGTAACTTTTATTTTTGTAAAACGTGTAAATTTTATGTGTCGTCAACCTGCATGTATACATTGATGAAGACTTACGTCAGATATTTGACCACATTCAATATGATGTTTTAAATAAGGATTTGATAATGGGACTTTGTTCCCGAAACTAGTCATCCATTGACTAAGTTAAGACTGAAGACGGAACAAGGTACGTAACCTATTATATACACAATTGTTGTTTTGTTATAGCTCTCAATAAATACTTTAAAATATCAATATGTCATAACCATAAACAAAGTGAAAAAAGCATGAATGTTGATAATACTAATGAATTTGTCTTATTAGTGTTAAACAATTTTATTTAGGTGTTTAACTCAGATTTTTTTAAACAATAATCCCTTTGTGATTAGAGAAAATAATAATATAAGCTGTAATAATAATAATAATAATATAAATACATATTTAACGTAAAAGCAATTTCCCACCGTTCACTTTCCATTCATATTTCAGCCCAATTTTTTCCATAAAAAATATTAAGGTCATATTATAAATCTCAAGTGATAAAAAATCTGTTAAATTTATATATTAATAAATGATCTGTTGGGTCCAGAAAACAAGGCATTCACGTTTCAAGATAATTTATTACTATGTAAATAAATTACAAATAATTTCCATAAAATAAATAAATACTATTTCCATTATTGTAGGCCTACTTCCTCTTCTTCATCTTCTTCTTCAACTTCACCTCCTCCGCCTGCTTCAGAAGATCTATAACAAATTGTACAATCACATTAGAAACTGTGAAAATTAATAGTATTAAAAGGGAACGTATCATATAAAGAATACACCCCTCATAACCTCGTTAAGAGGAGGCTTAAGGAATAAAGTGTCAGCCTGGTGATAGGACGAGAAATTAACCCTGCTTTTTAATAACAGTTTAAAACTGATAAATAATTTCATTTTTGAGTTGTTGCCTTGAGATTAAGGAAAGTAAATAAAAGAAACGTCTTTTAATACTTACGGTAGGGGATATACAAAAAACATGGTAAGTGGTGATCGATTTTGATTGGACACTCCAATCATCCTCAGACCCAATAGGCAAATGACCCTTATACCCTATTGGCTACGGGGAGCACCGGCCAATACATTTTAATTGACAAAGAAATTTAATTTAGGCTTTCAAGCTACATATTACTGACCTCATCTAGGCATAAGATCAATTACATTCAACCAAAATATTTTCTTTGGCACCTAAAATGGTGAACATTCTTGGAATGCATATAAATCAAGATGACAGTGGTGAATGATAATTTTTCCCTGTAAACTAAATTCCCTTGACTCGAAAAGGAAGTTTTGGAATCAACGTCACTGTAGTTCGTCATGTAACAAGTGTTCCTTACTGTTTAAACACATTTAATAAGTATGGTTGGCCCTATTGAAAAAGTTATTTACGTACTCGGAAAATAAAGTCTGAAAACATGTTAACGTACAACACACTTTATGATATACAGACAACTTCAATTTATTGGAGTGTACTCAATGTCAATCATATGCTGATTTCAATAAAGGTGAAAGTTGTTCGAGAATTCGTTTGAATACATCAAAACTAAAAATATATTAACGTCATCCACAATGTTATAAGGTAGAGAATTAACTTACTTTCGATCTAGTCTGGATTTAGCTTGTTGCAGCCACTTTCCCATCCAGGTCTTCACCACTTCCTCAGTTGCCACTGGATTTACTTTTTTTACAGCTTCTGTAATCAAACATCCTTTTAAATAAGTATTAACATAGTTTATAAAACTTCCATCATTAATTGCAAGATTTATAATAACACAGTCCAAACTCTGATTGAAGGCATTACTATAATCAAGGCCTACATCTATAAACACCGGTCTGAGCTTGTTTAACTCGGAGAAAATTAACCTTTCATCGGGCGCATCACTGAAGTTACCTCCGGGTCACAACATTTTTCATTATAAAAACCATAGTTTGTGTTTGGCAGGGCTGTTGCCTGCCGTACCTCAAACACCTCTTTTGCAGGATTGGTGTCGGCTACTCTTACGCCTTTCCCAGTTGTCAAACAACATTGGGAAGTGGTTTGCGTCACTCAAGGTAGCTTCCGTGTGCGCCCTTTTGTTTGACGTTATTTATCGATATTATAAAATGGATGAAGCAGAACAAATAGCGAGATTGTTGGCTAGTGTTAAAAGGGAGGACAGGGAAGAAGATTTAGTAGAAAGGCCCACTGGTGCCACTGGCGAGTTTGTTCGGGTATTATTTTTTTAAAGAAAGAGATCTTTGACAAAATGAGTATAGTCCTTCTAACAAATGATTTTTTTCATCTGACAATAGGTGGTTTATTTCATTTGAAATTTTTTTAAGAGCTTTGAAAAAATAAGTTGTCTTTATAAAAAGGATTTTTCATAAGGACCATACAAATGTTTTTTTTTGTCATACACTGATGCAATTTTTATCTAAGAGCTTTGATTAAATGAGTTGTCCTTGTAACAAATCAATATTTTCATTATACCATACGTGTTTTTATGTAATACAATATTGAAAATTGTATATAATAGTACTGTATATGTACAAAAAGTAAGTTTTTTTTTATCCACAACACTTAAGTATTTGTATTGTTTAATAAACACTTACTATTTTATAAAGAACTTAATCGTGTAAAAACTCATTAAAATTTGTTTCTTACAGTTTTATTGCTATTAGACGGGTTTTACTCAACATATGTATAGTTTTCGTATTCCCAGAGGTAACTTCCGTGAGCGCCCTTTGGTTTTTGAAAATCAATGCGCCCGACAGAAGGTTAAATACAAGCTCAATGTATAGGATTGTCAATTAACACTAAAGAAATTGTGATAAAAAATAAAAAGCTTCTTACCGAGTGCGATTTTGCAAGCATTCGTTTTCGAAAATGCAATTTTCTTCGTCTTTTGTTTGTTTTTTGCAGCGTGACCGCTGTAAGAGAATGATACCGCGACCTCGTAGGACATCAACCGTCGTAGACAGTTGTATGTCATTGATCTTACATCCTTCCCCCCGACAGAGGTTAGAACCTTAAACTGAAAAAAAATATATATTATTTGATTGTTTAATTAAGTGGACATAATATGAAGATAACTGTTAAAAATAGTTAATGAAAGTATAAGTGCTGTGTTAATTTGTACAATTCACACATTTAATGACAACCTGCAAACCTGCAGACTTAGCGAATTTCCATCTGCCTGATTGGATTTAAACTAAAATGTCTCATTAAAAATATCAAATTTTTCCCTATTTAAACAGAATTAGTTTAATGAGTACTTAGGTTTGCTGCAACAGGGAGGGTAAAAAAGTTTTTTTTATGTAAAATATTAAAAGGTACTGTGGTTTAGTAAGAAATTAATGTATTTTCCAAATTAGATTAAAATATGTTCATAAACAAGCTAACTACAACAGTTGACTTATTCTCCATAAGAATAACATGGGAATTTTAAAATTACAATTTTTTGAATTTTCTCCTTAACAATTAGGCGCATAATAACGCTTCAATATACTAAATTATTTGTTTTTTTAAGCTCTACAAAATGGTTTAAAAAGAAATTGTGAAATTTTGTGTTTTTAGGGTAAAATATGAGAAAAACCTATTTTTACCCCATAAAACCCCCCATAAACCCCCGTTCCCATAGTCCGATCATGCTGGTTCGCGAACTCATTCAAGTTTATCCCGCCTTACACCTTCAAACCAAATTTTATCAAAATCGGACAAAAATTACTCAAGTTATCGTGCGGATGGACACACACACACACACATATATATATATATATATATATATATATATATCTATATATAGATATATAAAAATTTGAACGAATGGTGTTTTTGGCCTCTGGGGACATCAAAATGAAAAAGTAAATCGGTCCCGGGCTTAGGTCTTACCATGAGACCTACGGTAACAGGTTTGCTACTTCCGTATAGGGAAATTCGCTAATAGTTAATGAAAGTATAAGTGCTGTGTTAATTTGTACAATTCACACATTTAATGACAGTCAAATTTTTTACGAACATAACTTAATGTGTTTTCTTTATACACAATTTAAAACAAGAAAACCCCAAAGTCTGTTAGGCCCCGGCCACACGAGGCGGTTTAACCGCGCGAAGTTAAGGGGCTCGACAACACATTGAATCAAATGAGAGTGGCCACACGAGGCGACGTTTAGCCGCATGTGCGGTTGAGCCGCGACATGTCGTCCCCCGACCGCGCGAAGTTAAGCCGCGTTGGGGGGATGACACACGTAGTCTTATGAGAGTGGCCACACGATACGGTTCGACCGCGCGGCAGCCGCGCTTATTGGAGATATTCTTCGGACACTTCCAGTGCTTTTTTAGTTTGTTTTGTGTAATTGTTAACGGTTGTGTGGTGTTCAAAAAATGTTTGATGTTATTGTCAGACGTTCCTCAGCACTAATTGAACTTCTCATGAGTGTATCTTCTTTAGCTACATGTGGTTGGCGCAATTCAAGTAACTTGTCGAACGATGCAGTAACACTAAACACATATATACGGTAATAACCAAAATAACTCCGAACTATGGTTTCGCATGTGCTCGTAAAAAGTTTGGAACACAATGTTAATTATATATAAATACTAGCAGAGTACCCGTCCTTCGTACGGGGTTGGAATATAAGTATAAAATGCTTATTGCAGTTATACTTAAGCTTTGCAATTGCAATGGGTGGAGGACACAGTTTGATAAAATTTGCTTTTTTAAATTTACAGTATTCTATAGTATTACACATCTACCATAGCCATAATGTTCTACCATTTCACCAAACAATAGAGAAAAATAAATTATCAATTCGCAAAATATCACAATTTATTCATGAAATGAAAAACATAAACATAACTGTAAACAATCCTACTTTGACAGTTCTCATTGCGAATCACAGTTTTTTGTTGCTGCTTAGTTCAAATTAGCTGTTTTCGTAAATGCAAAAAAAATATAGTGCTGCACCCTGTTGGTAAATCTTATAACTTTTTAATGCTTTTCCATATCATAGAACCAACTTTTTTAGTTGAAACAGCTGACTAAATTCTTTAATTCCCTTTAAATATGAATACTTATAAGGTTAACATGGGGAATTACAGAGCCACTGGGGCGGAGCCCGAAAGGATTTTTGAGATAAGAATATGCCTATATGTTAATCGGGAATGTAAGCTATCATCATGCCAAATTTCAGCCCAATCCGTCCAGTGGTTTATGCGTGATTGAACTTCAAACAAACAAACAAACAAACAAACAAACAAACAAACACACAAACTTTCACATTTATAATATTAGTAAGATATCATTTGAACAGATGGTGTTTTTGGCCTCTGGGGGCCACAAAACGAAAAAGTAAATCAGTCCAGGGTCTAAGGTGTCACCATGAGACATACGGTAATAGTTTCTTCCCTATGGGAAATTCTCTAAAAGGGTACTTGGAGCTGTTTTTACTATTTATATATATTTATTCGTAAATAAATGGATTGTTTAAAGACAAAATAAAGTATAATTTAAACATAGCTTTAAGCTTGGGTTTTGACTTGTTAAGGTTTGTAATTACACATCGGGCATGTGACCTAGACAGTTTTCTGCACAGAAACGTCAAAGTCAGACAGTGAAAATCCTGACCAAGAAGTGTGTCAGACCTTGTTACGATCCCTTTTAAGCATCAATATGTTTTATGGTCAGCCTATAATTTCAGATTTTAAGGGTTTGTACAATATTGATATAAAAACATCCTGAAAAAGTCCCAAAAAGGCTACAGCTTTGAGTTTACTTTGTGATACCTATGGTTTCCACATTCATTACTTTTTCAACGTTCCTGCACCACAATATTAATGACCACATAACTTATTAATACAAAATTGCGTACTTTGCTGTGGTTGGAAAACTACTGACGGCTATGAATCTCAGAGCATAGATCGATCAGTGTTCAAAATACTGAATAGGATAAGTTACTAGGTAAGAATTTTTTTTTGCAATGAAAAATAGACAAACTTACCAACTGCCTATTAAATTCAGAGGTTTCTAATTTCTTCTCTAAGTCTTCCATCTCATTTAAATTCTTAACTGGTATTATCCTTCCTATTATTTCGTTTTCAAATTTTACATTTTCCTGTTCTTTGTTGTACATAGCAAGGTTATCAACTTTTTTGCTTAATTTTTTAACAGTGTCTGCGAGGACAATTACTTCTTCCTGAAGCTTATGAACCATGACAAAAAGTCTATTACTATCTGAAAATATAATTTAACACCAATCACAAATCAACATTAAACATAAAATACAATGTAACTAGTGGCTTGTAGGGGCAATAGCCCCTATATATATTCTAATAATTATTTTGTACAAATTATTAGCCTCATGGGCTACATTGAATTATTGTTTAACGTTTTTGTGTATTATAATATGTATAATAGTTATTACATACCTGCATAATGCATTTTGATGTATGTTCTGTTTAAAATAAACATTCCAAAGGACATGTGGTGTGTTTATAACATAAACTTTCTAATCATAATACAACCAAAGAACATTTTCTAATAGTAATAATCTTCATTACTACTGGGCTTTAATTACATTTATTTAGATTTCTTTAATTATAGACAAATTTACTTAGAAAAACACATAGAGATAATGGCATCATCCAAATTGTAAAATGGTAATTCTATAACAAAATCTCCCTGAAAACAACATTTGTTGTATAGTATCCATTTTGGTCGATTCCTTGGTCTTTATTTGGTTCTAGTACTATTTTAACATCATCTGGCCGCTTTACCTGGCTGAACGCAACATAAAGTTGACCATGATGACACTGGGGAGTGGGAAAGTCATTGGATTTTTCAAATACAGTAAATGCCAACATTAGTGTGTGCGCAATGCACCACAATGAATGCACCCACCGTTCATTGTTCCTACGCTGTGTAATGCAATCTCATTTAAAAGTGGTAATCTATACACAGGAATAACTTCATGTTCATCTGATGCCTATTTATTCTTCTTCCATTAATATTGTGCCAAATCTGGCGCTTTGTTGTTCTCATTTTGAGGAACAATACCTCTGCGTGGCTGCCTACCTCTGCTTGGTAGTCTTCCGACATTATACATTATTACTGTGCAAAAGAACAATCCATTGAAAAAAGTATCAAATTGTTCGTTCAAAAGAGTTTATCTAGTTTTCACTTTGTGTTGTTGTTTACTACTCCACTAACAATTTTACAATAACAAAATAATGCACATTCAGGTGTGGTTATAATTTTTCAATCATTGGCTAACAAAATTTTACTGTATATAAAGTTATGATCAAACCAATTTGGACATACGGAATTCAACTTTGGGGGACCTCGAGCAAATCCAACATCGAAATTCTTGAACGATTTCAGGCTAAGGCACTGAGAAGAATTATTGGCGCACCCGGGTTCGTATCCAACACTACAATTAGGAATGACTTCAAAATTAAATCAGTGAAAGAAGAAATTACAGACCTTAGCAAAAGTTATCAAGAAAAATTAGAATATCATCCGAACAGTCTTGCTGTTAATCTGCTGGACAATAGTCAGTGCATTACCAGGTTAAAAAGTGTTGTGCATGTGCTGGACCTAAGCTACAGATTTCTGTAAATGTTTAAATGACTGATCCAATTTTTGGCAAGACTTGTTGATGAACAGGTGCTTGCTTCCTGACATTGCTTTGATATATGTTTTACTTATTGTTCTCATATTTGAAGTTTGAACAGATTGTAAAATAAATTCTGATAAAAAAAAATTATATAATCACAGCTGTGTTAACACTAAATAAAAATACATAAAATTAGATTCCCGTGCTATTTAAATGTGAATTATTTTATTCTGTAACAACCTTTTGGTGCATAATTCAGAAAAATGAATAATTTTCCCCAAAATTTCATGCCCACACCTTTATAATGAGACCTCTCCCAGCTTTCTACGGCCTCACGTTCGCTCACAATTCCATTGTAAAATTTTGGGCTTACGGAATTAGATATATAGATGCAACAATAGAAGATAGAACAATAAAACAACAACAATAGAACAATAGACCAATAGTCTAGAAAGATATACAGGGTGAGTTTTAAATGAGTTCCCCCCCTACTTTTTTCTACATTTCTTAAGATATCAACTCCGAACCACGTCAGATCAAGGTAGAGTAGTAAGTATTTCATTTTGACTGGGTTTAAATTTTTGGCCGCCATCTTGGATCCGCCATATTGGATACAAAGTAGTTTTTTTTTCAAATGTAAAGGTAGGGTTGTGACCCACCATTTCAAACTAGATTTTTACGCTGATTACGATGCTGCAATCTGTTTTTAAAAATATTGATCCATTCTAAAGTTATGAGAACTTTTTATAACTTTATTTTTACCCCATTATAACATTGTGCATTTACAAACTAAGGCCATAATCTCAAAATAGTGATAGATAAAGATAAGTGGACACCACCATTCATTGTTGACATATTTTCACTTGGTTATGATGGATGTATTTTTTTCAGCCGCCCTCTTGGATCAGCCATTTTGAAACGTATTAAATTATTTTAAATATGAAGGTGGTGTTGTGACCCATAATTTTAAACTACTTTTTTATGCTGAACTTAATGCCGCAATCCGTTTTTTGTTATCAAGCTCATTTAAAACTCACCCTGTATAATACGGTAAGGGCAGTAAATAGACCTATGGGATATACAGTTATTACTAAAAATAATGAAATGTGCTTAATCAGAAAAATGTTATAGGCAATGTTAAACGTGGGGTAAATGTATGCCCGGAACAAATTAACTCCCGGCTAAGTACAAATTTGAAAATTAACCAAAAGGTTTAAACACAGCCAAATGTATTTCAAACTATGCTCTTTTAAATAATCAATAAATAATTATCTTGTTACTATTTCTATAAGTTTAAACGTGTTTAAAATCTCTCCCGTTTATACTCAAAACCGCTTGGAAAATTTAAAAAAATACTAAAATCTGAAATGTAAATATATTTATACTTGTGCACGTATATTTATATGTATAGGCCTACCCATAGATAAAACATTCCAACTGCCAAAGAATGAGCACATTAAATTTGACACATGACAAAAAATCAACCAACTAGTTTATGCAATTATAGTTTTAGGGTGATAAACCGGTGACGACCTATGTTTATGGGTCATATTAATTAATTAAAACAAGTGTGTAATTAGTAACACAAGTTTATTAATAAAACCACATTGTAATCACAACAGATACACAGGGTCACATGTTGAGGAGTTGACGGAAGAGTGTGTGAAGTTGGAATGAAACTGGAGGGTGGAACGGAAGGGGAATGGAGATACATAGAGGAATGGAAACATAGAATATATAATTATACAATACTGTATCAACATCTCCCTTATCAACAAATAACAAAATTTTAACTTTTACTGTTAAGAGTATGTGAAAGAACTAAACAAACATTTTCAGCCTACTCATATCTAGTTAGGTTACAATGAAGTACTAGTTAGCATCAAATGTAAGTCTCCTAGGATTTCTGATTGTTCTACCTCTTTTAGTCACATAACCCTCCATGTTTTGGATAACATTATTTTCATCATGACCACTGGGAGTGGGAGGAATCAAAGGACTGGGCTGAATTAGACATTTTTGTTGGTTGGGAGTGGGACTTTGGTTTTTATGATTAGGATCCTTAGAATTGGTGCTAGGATGAGATGGATTTACATTTTCATCGGGATTGTCAGTTGGAGATAAAATAAAAAACTTTCTGTTGCGATTATAAAATCTACCATTATCATCCTTTACCACATAAGAACGGGGTGCATTTCCTAAAGCTGTTATCTTACCAGGGGACCAAGGACCATCTAGGTTCTTTTTAAAAAGAACTTTGTCATTTACATTCAACTCTGATAAAGGTTTAACATGTTTGTCATAATATTTTTGTACAGACTGTTTTCTTTTATTTACAAGATTGGGGTTTGGTTTTGTGACCTTTGGCTCTAGGAACTTTGCTGAACATGGTAATAATGAATTTAAGTTTCTCGAAAACAATAATTGTGCGGGTGAAGGTAAATTACCTTTAGGAGTGTTCCTGTAATTGAGTAAACCGATGTAGGGGTCTGTGTTTGAATGTTCACATTTTTTCAGTATACCTTTGGCTATTTTTACTCCTGACTCAATCTGTCCGTTGGACTGGGAGTGCTTTGGTGACGATAAGACATGACTAAATTCATAGCTATTTACAAATATTTGAAACTCATGACTAGTGAACTGAGTACCTGGATCAGTTACTAGTATTTGGGGAATTCCATGTCTTGCAAACATTGACTTTAATTTGTTAATAACACCTTTTGAGCTAATATCATTTAGAGACACTAATTCAATGTATTTAGAGTAATAATCCATTACAACTAAGTAGTGCACAGATTTTAATTCAAAGAGGTCTGCTGAAACTTTAGACCATGGCAGGGATGGTATTTCATGAAACAGGATTGGTTCTTTACAGTTATTGGGGGAATGTAAAGCACATGTCATACAATTATTTACAAACTCCTGTATGTCTGACTTTATACTAGGCCAATACAAAATATTTTTTGCTCTCTTTTCACATGTACTTACACCAACATGACCTTCGTGCAGTTTTGTTAACATATCTTTTTGCAAACTGCGAGGAACTATTAATCTATCATTTTTAAACACAAGTTTGTCAATTACATGGAGACTATCCCTCAAGTTCCAAAACGGTTTTACAGAATTGTCAAGATTATTTTTGTTTTCAGGCCACCCAGATTTAACAAATTCTCTTACTTGAACTAAAGTACTGTCCTCATCTGTCTTAGAAACAAACAAGCTAAATTTTTCTCGAGAAATAGGTAAACTATTTTTGAACAAATTAACTTGGCATATTATATCATCATCTGTATGATCAATTTCCTCTTTAGTTTGAAAGGGTAAGGATGACCTTGATAAGGTGTCTGCAATATACAGAAGTTTACCAGGCTTATAGATCACGTCAAGATCATATCTTTGCACTTTTAACAACATAGTTTGCAGTCTCAAAGGGGCTTGTGACAAAGGCTTTTTGAATAAGCTAACTAGGGGCTTATGGTCTGTCTCTACAGTTATTTTCTTAGAAAATATGTACTGATGAAATCTAGTACAACCAAATGCTATGGCTAGCATTTCTTTCTCAATTTGACTATAATTTACCTGGCTCGGAGTCAATGACCTTGAAGCATAGGCCACTGGGTTACTATCACACAATAACACCGCTCCTAGACCTGTTGAGCTACTATCAACAGACAATGTCACAGCTTTTTTAGGATCAAAATAACACAAGACTGGGGGGCTGACCAAAATCTCTTTTAATTTCCGGAACGCGATATCTTGTGGCTGATCCCAACGAAAAACAACATCCTTTCGTAACAACTCTCTTAAAGGTGTTGTTATTGTTGAATAGTTAGGGATGAATTTAGATAGATAATTAGTCACGCAAGAAACCTTTCCAGCTCTTTGCGATCAGCTGGGACCTGCATATGCTGTATCGCAAGAACCTTCGAGGAGTCTGGAGAAACGCTACACTCTGAGTACTCAAACCCGACAAATTTAACTTTAGGCACACGGAACTTGCATTTGGACATGTTAAACTTGATGCCGTTAGCCTTTGCGATTTCTAAGACTTTACGAAGTCGCTCGTCGTGAGATTTTTGATCAGCCGCACTAATACAAATATCATCAAAATAGCACACTACGCCCTCAATATTACCAAATAACTCTGTCATTTTAGATTGAAAATAGTCAGGGGCACAACTGATTCCATAGGGCATACGTAGAAATCTGTATCTTGCAAATGGTGTATTAAAGGTACATAACCTACTTGAATTTTCATCAAGCTTAAACATCCAAAAGGCAGAACTAGCGTCAAGAACAGAATATATTTTAGAATTTGTTAGCTTACTACTAATCTCTTCTGCATTGGGAATTTGACAATGGGGACGCTTTAAATACTTATTTAGATTTCTGGGGTCTAGTACAACTCTAAGACCAGAGCCTTTTTTATTAATTAAAACCATACCATGTACCCATTCAGTAGGTTCGTCTATTTTAACTATTATGCCCAATTTCTCCATTCTGTTTAGCTCATTTTTTAAAGGCTCCAACAAAGCAAAAGGGACTCTTCTTGGAGGCTCAACTTTAGCCTCATAATTACTACACAATTCTAATTTAATCTCACCAGGGATTGTACCTAAGTTACCATCAAACATGGTTTGATAATCTTTGAATACAAAGTCATCAGCGTTTTCAACTGTTACAGAATTCACTGTTCTACTTATGAGACCTAAGCTACAGCAGGTTTCTAGGCCTAACAATGGTGTACATTTTATATCTACTATTACAAAAGAGATTAAGTGTGTTTTGTTCTTAACCTTGCAAATTATATCAACTTTACCAATGACATTTACTTGTTGACCCGTGAAAGATGAAACAGTAACGTTACATTTGTAGATTATGTTCTGATCTAGACCTAACTCTTTGAAAAGTGAAAACGAAATTAGGTTAGTTTGAGCTCCACTGTCAAGTTTAAATTTGACAACTTTACTGTTAATTCCTACGTTTTCAAACCAATCAGCAGAAGTTTGAGTATGATTCACACATTCAATAGTGAAATTCTCAAGGTGTAGGTTATTTTCATCTAGGTTTTCACTAGGTTGAGTCTCATTTAGTTCATCAAAATTTACTTCATTTACTTTTTTGAAGGACTTTGTAGGCCTATTTTGGCTTTTGATTTGATTATTAGTTGGTTTTGACTTAGATTGACAGTAATTTGCAAAATGGTTCTTATGCTTACAAGAAAAACATTCAATACCATACGCGGGACATTGATTCACTAAATGATTTCTACCACAATTTCTACAACTATTAATGAATTTCTTATGATTAGGCCTAAACTTAGACTGGCTATTTGACTGATGAGCGCTGGGTGTCACTTTAGGCTTGGCGAATTTGCTTGAGGCACTAACTTGGGCAATTTGGGCTCCTTCTATTTCTTTAATTTGAATTGACGACAGTTCAGCAGCTTTGCATATGGCAACAGCTTTGTTTAGGGTGAGGTCCGATTCCCGTAAAAGTCTTTCCTTCATATGCTGATTTTCGAGGCCACATATCATTACATCACGCACTAGGTCTTCGCGAAGTTCTTTGAATTCACAGTTTAAGCTTTTATTAACCAAATCTGTGAAGAACGAGTCAAAACTTTCACCGGGATTTTGCTTTCTGGTGAGGAATTTGTGTCTTTCTACAGTCAAGTTCTTCTTTGGGGAAAAGTAGGCCTGGAACTTATCTACCACAGTGTTGTAGTTGGTTAATGAATTAGAGTCTAGATTAAAGGAATTGAAAATTTCGAAACACTTTGCACCTAAATTATGCAAAAGGATTGCAATTTTCCGTTCATCTTCCTCTTTATCAAGGTTTGAGGCAGTTAGGAATATCTTGAAACGTTGATACCAAAACGTCCAATTCTGGGCTAGGTTTCCTTCTAAACTTATGGGGCCTATATTTGAATCGATACTGGCATTTGTATTTGGGCTAGATGATGAGGAAGCCATTTTACTACGGTAATTTGACAGTTCTTACTGAAATTTATTCTTCAATGAAGATTATCCACACTGAGTAATAGGTTATGCTAGGTACTTACGGCAATTCTCGCGTAACCTAACCTAAAACTAATCCACTTTAATCTGCTGACTAGCACTGAATTTAGGTATTTACTCAGGGGAGGTATAGAAGAGGCTACGATGACTGCTGAGGGCTTCTTATTAGCTGAGGGAACGCCATTACCGTAACAAAACGATCGCTAGCCATCGGCCTCGGTGGTCTAATGGTTACGTGCCGGGCTGATATACTGTAGTTCCCGGGTTCGAATCCCGCCGGTGGCATTAACTTTTTGTCCAAGATTTTTTTTATTTTCTGCAAGTTTGGTTGGTTTGGTTTGGTTATTACGGTTTAATTTTATTATTAAGTCATCATAAAATTTTAATTGATCAATTTATAGTTTTATTTTATAAAGAGAATTATTTTTCCGCTTACTATAAACTTTTGTTATATTATTTCTTTATCAGCAAGTTTGGTTAATTCGGTTAGGTTATGATAGTTTAATTTTATAATTAAAAATTAATAAAATTGAATTTTAGGCATTTATAATTTTATATTATGAACAGAACTATTTTTGCGATTAGTAAACCTTCATTGCCAAAGTGCTTTTTACTACAGCGCTGTTCACGGAGGAATTTTGAACTAAATGCCTCTTTGTACGTCCCCTAAGTCAGACCCCTGAATTTACTGTTCACACAAGTGAAAACTAACAACATAACCTGACGCCATGTTTATGGGTCATATTAATTAATTAAAACAAGTGTGTAATTAGTAACACAAGTTTATTAATAAAACCACATTGTAATCACAACAGATACACAGGGTCACATGTTGAGGAGTTGACGGAAGAGTGTGTGTGTGAAGTTGGAATGAAACTGGAGGGTGGAACGGAAGGGGAATGGAGATACATAGAGGAATGGAAACATAGAATATATAATTATACAATACTGTATCAACAACCTATTGCTGAACAGTGTGATGCAGAAAAGACATTGGTTTATTTTGCCGCACACTGTATTTAAAATAGACCATCAAAGCACTAATCAGGATTACCCCTACTTTAAATGTAATAAAATTATACCCACTCTCATTATTGCATCCACTTTTTGTTGGTAACAACTGTCGATGAGGAGTGTGCTGCTGCATAGGTGGCTTAGAAGGAAGTTCTGGTTCTGAAAAATGAACTGAGGTAGAGGGATTTTATCAATACTTTGCATCTCAAGTTCATCTGACAAGTCTTATGCTAACTCATGACTAATTGAACTTAAGCTCAACTTATGCTAAATAGAAGGATTAAGACCAAAATCCCTTGTGTAGACAGCCAACTTAAGCCTAAGAATTTTGATGTAATGTTAAGGCAAAACTAACAGCTAAGCGTAGTAACTGTAAGTCATGGTACGATAAAACTTCTAAAACCATTGCCTAACTTAGAGCCAAATGAATCAGTTTTAGTTCAGAATGGTAAAGCATGGGAACCGGGACGGATAGTAAAATCATATATTACACCCAGGTCATTCATAGTAAAACAGAATGATGGGAGAGAAGTCAGGAGAAACAGGATACATTTAAGGAAGTCCCTAAATCAAAACCCAATGTTTGTTAATCCAGAACTCCTACATAATCCAATCAAACAACCAGAGACTCAAACCCTACATAGACCTACTCCTGAAACTCAAGTTCACACCTAAAACCAATCTGACTTCAGCCCCAACCATGCTCCATCCTTTGGTACCATCCTACCTACACCTATCTCACTCCCAACCTCTAGGTATGGTAGACTGATCAAAAAACCTCAAAGATTAGACTTGTAAACAGGCTATAAGAAACAACTGTTAGATCTTGAGTTAACATAATAAAAGCCATTCTCGTAAAAAAAAGAAAGGAGATGTTTGATATCATATAAGTATTTAATATTATATAGGCTAAGTATTTCTTGCAATTAGTTTTAGTACTCTTTGTATCCATGCTTTAGAGGCCTATGAGGACGATTCCGTTGAGACTCCAGAACTGAATATAGCAACCCATGTTGTATTAAGATGTTAATCCAATTAAATATGATTATTAAACTGACTTAGTGTTTTATTTATGTCGCCTGCACACTAAACAAAAACAGAATGATCTATGTACACAAGTTAAATTTATACTAGTGAACCTGTGCGGCTCAATGCCCCGCAAAATAACATATGAATTTAGAAAACAAATTCAAAAACAAAACAAATATTTTTTTTATTATTTTTAATGATATATTATATATTTATATATTTTAATAAATATATACATATATATATGAATTTGAACGGATGGTGTTTTTGACCTCTGGGGACCTCACAACGAAAAAGTAAATCGGTCCCGGGTCCAGGTCTTACCATGAGACCTACGGTAATAGCTTATTCGCTTATTCGGTATATGGGAAATTCGCTAAAAGAATCAAGTTATATGTAAAAAAAACTATGTTTGTGTAGCAATATTATTCACTTGAAGTAGATGACTTTTTTGATTTGTAGATCAGCTGTTTTGTTTAAAATTATTTAATAATGTCAAAGATTTGTGATTTTAAATACATAAATTATTATATAATAGTAAAGTTGTCTAAAATCATGGTAACATATTCTCAACTAAATTCTACTATTCCCAACATTAAAATAAAGTAGTAAGATCCATTATGGGTAAACTTTAAGGTACACAATCCTTGATTGAAATGTAATATACATTAACAGTCATAATACACAGAAATTATTATGTAGTAGACTTTGACTATTTTCAAGTAACAAACATATGTTTCTGTAAATAAAAATCATCTCCCATGTTATCCTTATGGAGAAATATGAAAATTTAAAGGGCCCCAGAGCCTCACTCTCTAATTATTTCCCTAAAAAGAAAGTTTCCTGCACAACTTCACGTTAAGCTCTTTCCAATGACACCAAAAACATGTCAATCGGTTCAGTAGTTTCGGAGGAGTAATTGTCACAAAAAACCTGCTTGCGTATTAAATAAGTACTAGTGGTCGTCCTGTGGTCGAAACTCGACCAAAAATAATTAATGTACAGACTTCTCTATTTTCTCCCCACACTGTAAATAAAACATGTGATTTGAATTTCTTCCCTTTGTTTTGATTTTCTGTTTACATTTTGTTGTTATTTCGTCACCATCATGGCAACCCATATGGTCCATGTTAATATTTTGAAGTTTTCAAATTCATTTTTTGTGCTTATTTGTTAGCCTATTTTAATTTTTAAAGGCATTCTGCACATCTACAGGAAAATATCTCTCCAACAGTATGCGTAGATTTTCCCTGCGATGCACACGAGCTGAGAAAAAAGGTTTTAAAGAAACATGCTTGCCTATTAATATATAGATAGATAGATAGATATACAGGTGCAGAGATCAGTATTTTACCTGCTAGTTATGTATGGAAAATGAACATTACACACGTAAAACGTAGTTCTTTCTTATGTACTATCAGCCTGGGGAGATGAAAAATTCAAAATCAAACCACTAGGTCTTGTACAATGTAAAATTACAGGTGTAACTGCGGATGTGAATTTTTCTGTAGTGAATGTCGAACATGAACTGCCAATTTTAGGACTGAACGATTGTGTCAATTTAGGACTCATTAAGAGAGTGTCGTCGATATGTTAGAATTTTGAAGATAGTGACGATGTTTTAACCAACTACAACACAGCTTTTGAAGGATTGGGACAGTTTCCAGGCACTCATCATATTCAGCTTAAGGAGGGTGCTGTACCTTACAGTTTGCAGGAAAAACTAAAGGAAAAGTTGGACCAACTTGAGGAGACTGGGGTGATTCGGAAGGTTAACAAACCTACAGCATGAGTCAATCCTCAGGTGATCGTGGAAAAACCCAATAAGTCTTTGAGAATCTGCATAGATCCGATGCCATTGAACAAGGTGGTAATGAGAGAGCACTTTTTTAATGCCACACCCTGATTATATTCTGGTAACATTGAGTGGTTACAAATATTTTACTGTTTTGGATCTTAAGGATGGGTTTTTTCAAATTTTTTTAGACGAGGAGAGCCGTGAACTGTGCACAGTCAGTACCCCATTTGGGAGGTACCAATTTTGTAGATTTCCTTTTGGAATCCGTTCGGGTCCGAAATTTTACGAGAAAATAACTACAAATGCTTTGGAAACCTGAAGGGAGTTAACATAGTACATGATGATATTATTGTAGGAGGAACGACATCGGAAGAGCATGACGAAAATTTAAAGAGAGTTTTGGACACAGCCAAAAAGAGGGCATTAAACCTGATCCAACTCATTAACTCATTTATTATTTTTCTGTGACAGTTTGGATTAAACTTGGAATCAAATTTAATCCAAACAAGATGCAATTTAAGAAGAGCGAAGTTAAGTATCTGGGACACATAGTATCGGCTGCAGGAATCCAACCCGACCCAGATTATGTAAATAGATTATGTAGAAAGGGGTGATGCGGTTATTGGGCATGCTAAAGTATTTATCAAGGTTCATACCGAATTTAGCAAAAATCACTGCACCCCTCAGACATTTGACAAGAAAGGATGTGGACTTCTTATGGACCGTAGAGCCCTGAAGATTATCAAGACATTATAGTCCAGGCTATGCCTAATCCAATTGGCTTGCTGAAAGGGCAGTTGGAATGGCCAAAGAGTTGATTAGGAAAGTACAGTATGACAATAAGAATTTGAAAATGGTTTTTTTGGAGCTTAGGAACATACCCGTTAAGCATCTGGGATATTCTCCAGCTCAGCTGATGTTTTAACGCAGGTGTAAGACAATGAAAATGGAATTGAAGTACTTTTTATAGATTACGGAAACTCTTCTATTTCAACTGAATTCCGAACCCTACCTCCTGAGCTAGCGGAGAAAAAAGCCTTAGCTAAACATTGTGCCTTGAAACTGCCTGAAGGTTTAGAAGAGTGGATAGAATCGGCACTTGAAAAATTTATGGAAATATCTGCAGAAGGCTGTACTCAGTTTGATTTAAAACTAATAACTGAAGGGGATCCAGCAATTGTTGTCTTACACAGCAATGACAAATGTGTAAATGAAGAGTTAAAACCTTTCTGTGATTCAAATGCTCCTGTGACCGCTAAGACTGAAAGTGCCTCTCCAGACCTGACTGGGTATGACAAAGTTGTGTATATTAGTCATATTAATGGTCCTAATGATTTCTACATTCAAGTAGACAGTGCTGAAAGTAGTCCGGTCAAAAATGATGAAAACAACAAAATCCTGGAAGATCAGTTTGTTAGTGAGGTAGTAGAAGGAAGCAAACATGAAGCTGAAATTCAAGACATGATCATGGAAAGTGTTGATGCGAAAATAGAAAACATGCAACTACAAGAAGACATGCAGCAGATTGTGGAGGATTCGCTTGAAAATGCACTCAGTTCAAATCTTGATGAATCCTCTGTAGTAACAGAACAAGAAGTAGACAGTGCTGAAAGTTGTCCGGTCAAAAATGATGAAAACAAAATCCTGGAAGACCATTCTGTTAGTGAGGTAGTTGAAGAAAGCGAACTTGTAACGTTAGATACGAGTTCTTCAAATGGTGTTGGTAACGTCCAAGAAGATGAGGACAGATCGATGAAGAATCCCGAAACTTCTGATTCCGTGAATGAGGCTGAATCAAAAGGTAAACATTGCTTTTTTCACCACTTTTGCCTACATTTTATCGTATTATTCTACACATATAAAATATTTATGTGGAAATATATGCTCTTATGGCGTCTAATAAAACCCAAACATAGAAACCTTGCCTAAAATGGTACCCATCTTGACAAATTATTTGCACCTGCCTATATAACGAACTTTGGCGCACCGGGTTGGTAACATTATTGAAAATAACATGACACTTTGGCTGTAAAATATGGTAGGCTACAAAGAGAAAATACTATTTAAGCAGCTACTGTCATGACAGAAATGTCATATTCGTTTTTAAACTAGATCACATAAT